TATCAATTGATAAATCCAATAGTTGGGTACCATAACTGATACAAATTACCTGTGTGTGTTTAAAATCATCTTATCTCTTGGAGATTTGCCCCTCTAACCCAGGGTGTCCGTAGTCTCAGGGAAAAAGACAAATGATTTCTTTAAACAATTAAACTTAAGTGTTTTCCCAATTACAAAGCCCTGTTTTCAATGAATTTATAGAGAGCAAAGGGGCCAACATATCTGGCTTTTCACAGAGCAGAATAACCAAGGCTCATCTCTCCAGGCAAGACGACATAAATCATGAATTTTGTCCTACCCGTTGGCTTGACACCTTCTGTCAATTCAGTTTTGACCTGCACTAAAGAAAATATTGTTTAATGAATAAAATCACCCTGCTACCTTCACCCACCATCACAAAAGTTCTAGTTTTCTTTCAGAATAAGCAGCGTGTTTTCCGTCACCATGGCAAAGACAATATTAATGACTCAGTGGTTTTCGCAGGTTAAACATCATTTATCCAAAAAACACTTGTGACTACCAGGGCTTCAGATTTCCTGAAACATTTGCACATATACCAAGAGACATGTTTGGGAGGAGATCAAAGACTAAATGTAGCATTATTAACATTCCAAATACACCTTCTACTAATAGCTTACTAGTAATTTTATGCAACATTTTTAATAACTTTGCACAACACTAAGTTTCATGGTGTGGAATTTTCCAATCGCGCCATGAGGTCAATGCCTGAACATTTCAGATTTGGAAACATTTCATATTTCAGATTCTCAGAGCAGGAATGCATGTAAACATTAAAACAGAGAGGAAACCCGAATAATTCCTCTAGACTTACCCAGTTCATTGGCTTTTAGTTACTTGCTTCTAGTTGAATTCTTAAAAACTCACCTGTCTTAATCAGTTGCGTAGCCAAGCAATGTGCTGTCACTGTCTCCCTAGGTTTGTTTCAAAGAACACCTCAATCAAGCAGATCATGATGGTAGCAGCTACCTAAGCTATCCTGTAGAAAAGTGAAGGCAACTTTTGACTCTGGAGGACAGAAAACTCTGCTATCAGTCACGCAGAAACCACCATTTTTCAGCCTTTCCCTATCAAGATCTGTGAAGCTGGACTAAAACTGCACAGACTGACAATTACCCCACTTTTCCACATCTCAGATTGCCCTGTTTCCTTGCCACATAAATGTCTTTTTGTTTGTTTGTTTTTTGTATTGTTTTGTTTTTGAGACAGGGTCTCACTATGTCGTGCAGGCTGGCCTTGAACTCAGTTATGTAGCCCACACTGGCCTCGAACTCAGCCTTAAATATCGTTAAGTCTTATCCTTTGGGAGGTGAATTTGAGCTTTGTTCTCTAGTGTGCCTCATGCGTAAACGTTTTCTCTGAAGATGAGGGAGTGGATGGTTACATTTTCTAAAGCATCATTTCTCTCCACCTGGAAATGCACACTTACAATCCCAGCTCCAAACCAGAGTTGACTAAATGGATCTCATTTGCGAGAATTGCAGACCAATGAAACATCTTTGGCTCATGCCCCCTGACATTCACATCTTAACATCTCCAACTAGCACCTCAGGAAGAAAGTCCTGAGTATAAATCATTCCAGTGCCACGCTGTAGGGAAAGACTATAAATTTTATAAACAAGAGCTTAAATCATTTTCCTCACTCCCTCTGACATATGCACCAAAATGTTTCTTAAATGATAATACACATAAATAAGATCCCTATTTCATGGGGGCAATGTTTTGGTTTTTTGGTCTTTTTGAGACAGAGTCTCCACTATGCAGTTCAGGCTGACCTTGAGCTCACTTGGTAGCCCAGGCTGGCCTCGAACTCACAATTATCCTCCTGCCTCAGGCTCCCAAGTGCTGGGATTATAGGCCTGTGGCACCATGCCTGGCTTCATGGGGGCAATGTTGAATGCAAAGCTTTTGGGTTGATTTTGCTATCATGGCTTACATCTAGATGTCCCCCCAAGCTCCATACACACATAGGTGAATGGATCATGGGTGTGTGATACTGGGTCATGGGTGTATAATACTAGATTTGTCCACCTTTCCTATTTAATATGTGGATTTTGGGTATTTTATCTAAGCAATGAGAAAGCAACTAAGACACTAACGGTGTCCTTGATTTGATTGGATTTTTTTTAAGCTACTGACCAACTCTCCATCCATTTCTCACATGGGATGCCAGGTCTTGCCTAAATTGTTTAGGATATTCTGACTAGTGAGACAACAAACACAAATGTGTCCCGAGATCCTTGAAAAATTGCTTTATGGACAAGGTGAGGTCACCATTGTCATGATTCTTTGGCAACCTATGAAGGTAATTTGGGCCTCTTGGGCACTATATTTGATCTATTGAATAATTCAGACAACACAGGAAGACAATTTTATCTGAGGATGGCTTTTGCCCTGTTGTCTGTAATAGTAGTATTTTCAAGCAGTGTAAATAAGAAGCATTTTATGAATGGTGTGATGGTCTACAAATGCTACTACTGTCACTCATTCTTATTATACAGTGCTCCAGTATGGATCATTGGTCTTTACACTCAGAGTCATCTATTTTGGGGGAAGAAAACATAACTCTTTCATTATAAATCAATAGCCATAGCCTCCAAAATATGGTGTGGCTAGACTATCTTGAATTTCTAGCCCTAGAAGAGATTACACAAAACTTTATATAATCAAAATACACAGGCCAGGCTTTAATATCCTATGACAATAAATTATTTTTTTTGGTTATTCTCAAAGTTCTTCTGAGGAAACTGTTAAAATGCCTTGCAATAATATACTCATATGATTAAAGCATTTCTGCCAAAACATAACACACTACCATGAGAGTTGTCTCACAATGTTATTTTTGTACAACAGGCATTAATTTCTCTGTTGTATGTTTCTGAGACATTGCTGGAGGTGGACAATAATACAAAGATGTCCAGGTGTCTCCAGAAAATTAGTCACCCCATGACCTAACTACCTCTGACTATGCCCCATCAGCTCAACACTGTCCCACTGGGCACCGAGTGTCCACCATGCTGGCCAGAGGAAGCAACCAACAATATTCAAACCATAGCAGACATTCAACTCATGAGCATGTAGTTCTTAGACCTGTATAAAATACTTTCTCACTCCACAGAGCTGTGTACAAAATAGACCCTGTGGTTTATCTATTGCAAAATCAGTGATGTGAAGGATGTGGTCATCATAGCTGCACGACCACATAAACAGGTTCCTTCCACTGTCTCTTATAACTACAAAAACAATGGTCGAGGGAACAGTTACCCACTTTTGATTTCCAAAAGAAGATTCTTTATGCACACAAGATGTTGATGAGAGAACACAAACACTTTTCAAACCAGGAAGTGACATCATCACTTCAGGAACTGCTACCCACTCTTGATTTCCAAAAGAACTCTGTATGCACACAAGATGTTGAGGAGGGAACACAAACACTTCCATACCAGGAAGTGACATCATCACTTCCGGAGTGAGTCATGTTCTACCATTCTCATCAGCCCATAACTATATAGTACTCCTATGCCTTAAAAATGCATATATTCTGTTTTCTCTCCAGATTTCTGGCTCTTACCACAAACTTCCATCATAGTAACTTACCTTTCATTACTTGATTTTATACTTCTGCATCACCCAATTTAACTCTCGTCAACATTATGGCTCTATGTCTTTTACCATTTTTATATCATGCAAGTATCTCTGAAATTTTCCAGAAAGTTGCTATGAAGACCAAAGTTCCAATTTTCAGCTAAAATTTCTATTTCTCTTTAATTTTGTGGAGCAGACAATGAACCCAGGGACTTGCTAGTGCTGAGACTCCCTTGAGTCTCCAACTCTGCTTCTCTGTAAAGTACTCTCCTCTAAGTTACAAATGGAAAAAAATAAAAATATTTGTCCAGTTACTTCTTTGGAATAGCAATTGTTCATATATAGCCCCTTCAGCCTACCTATTTAAATATATTTATTTGGCTTCATCTTGATTATCAATATGATTTGCTTGGGAAATGTCCAGCAAATTAGTACATTTCCAGATACGTCAGTGAGGGCTCTAACTGTGGCAACGAATTTATCCATTAATGAGTTCCTAGCCTAATGGACTTAGTAAGAGAGGGGTCTGATTAGATGAAGTAGGACACTGGGGGCATGGTTTTGAAGGTGTGTTTTGTCTCATATCCCTTTGTCTGTGACTTCCTACCTTTTTATCTGCTTCCTGCCTGCCACGAGGTGAGCAGCTTTGTTCTACCACACCTTTCCACCACGATGCTTCAGCCTCAACACACATCCAGAGTCATGGACTGAACCAACCACAGACTAAAACCTCTGAGACTATGAGCAGAAATTGATCTTTCCTTCCCTATATTGAATTTTGCAGGTATTTTATTACAGTGACAGAAAACTCTATGGATTGTATAATATAATATAGGTATCTGTCTATATAACTCATAGTTTTGTCTATTTCTCCATTGACAGGTATTTCATTTGCTAAATGCAACCCTCAGAACTATGGGATAAAAGCTATCTCAGAGATCCCACAGAAATAATCCACTTTAGCCAGTTTACTCACAGAAATTTTTTGGCTCAAAGGTTAGCCTAAAATATTCTGGATCATTCCATGTGTTTTACACTCCATGGGCAAACTCTGGGGCTTAGTAAAGGCCATTATTTTTCTTCACCAGTTTGCTGTGCTGAAGATTAATGACCAGGGTGATATAGGACCCTGTGATAGGCAGATGTTTTTCATGGAATTGCCTTAGAACTACAGGATGTGAGGGATAGGCAAAGCCACTTGAACCAGAGCCTCATAGCTTCATAATTACTTTAAATGTGGTCCCTGTCATTCCCTGACTCCCTTCTGCAGACAGTCTGATGAGAGACACCTATTCAGCATGGAAGGTATAAGGTGATTTCAGTAAGCATATGGTTCTTCCACCTCCCTTGGGAATAAGCAAGATTCCTTTATCAGGAGTAGAAAAGGTGACACCCACCGTCGTATAAACCCAGTCGCCTCCAGCGTCAGCCTCTGGGTGAGGTTGTCAAAGGACATGGGCTGCTGGCTGATCTCATAGTTCTGCATCAGGAAGCAGTTCAAGGGCCGGAAGTAATGAAGGAAACACAGGAAAAGGATAAGGATCAGGCCCGCCAGGAGGAAGAGGATGATAAAGACACCAACGGGTACGAGGATCAGCCTCAGGAAGCGGAGCATAGCCAGTGTGAACATGGTGACCCCTATGAGCTGCAGGGGAAAGAACACCAGTTCCCTGTAGGCCGTAGAGAAGACGGTGCCTTCCCCAGATTTGCAGTCCCTCAAGTTGGTTGTAGGGAGACCGTAGAAGTAATCGAAGCCATGGCGTAAAGGGTGGTGGCAAAAATCGGTTGTGTTGTGACAGTTTATTCCAAGGTGCCATTTCCCTGAGGATACAAATGGATGAGACCTTTTAGTGCCAGTAAATGCCCTGGCTGGAAGTCAAGCTTCTAATTCCACACCCCAGAACACATGTCCTGCCCACCTACTTTACAGCCCAAGGTTCCCACTCACAGACCCACATAGGTTATCATGTTTTATTCCACAAATGCCAAGTTATTAGCCATGCACTCCAGCAGAAAAAAAAACAAACAACAACAAAAAACAAATCTGCAATTCTGTGAAAGACACCCAAATAAAACAAAGCAAACCAAAACTTTAGTATAAAATCACCTAAACACATTAACAGGCACAAAAGTGTAGGAAAACACTAGTAGATTTTTTTTGGAGACATGCACTTAGACAAAGTATGACAAAATGTGCCATAGTTTGGATACCCAATGAACTATGTGTTAAAGTTGCTTCTCAGCTTGGCACTGTTTAGAGGTGGTAGAACCTTTAAGAGGCGGGGCCTACTGACAGGAAGTGAGGTCATTGGGGAGAGGATGGCTTTGAAAGGGATTGTGGGACTCAGCCTCTTCTTCTTGCTCTCTTCTACTTCCTGGTCATGAAGTGAGAGGTTTTGCTTCACCATGCCCTCCCACCACGATCAGTGACCACAGTATCAAACCATGGGGCTAACCAACTGTGTACTGAAACTTCTGAAACTGTGAGCTAAATAAACCTTCTCTCTTTATAACTTGATTACTTCAGGTGTTTGGCACAGTGACAAAGAGCGGAATACATGTCATTATATTTTTGAAAAGTAAAATGAAAATCTTTCATCAACAGCAAGCTGTGTATGTGTACTTTCGGAAGCTCTCTGTGTGAACATCTAGTTGTCTGTTTATGTGTCTATCATTTTTCTCATCTATGTTCTGTTTAGCTTATCCATCCATCCATCTATCCATCCATCCATCAGTCCATCCATCCATTCTTCTATCTGTCTCTGTATGTATGTATGACTTATTTCATCTATCTATGATCTGTTTATCCTACTCACTTATCATGGTCATAATCTCTCTCATCTATCATATAGCCATCCAACATCTCTTCTGTAATTATTCCTTTCATCTCTCTACCCAACTTTCCATCTCTCTACCCGGCATCCATCTATCATTCTCTATCTATCTGTCTATCAATCTATCTATCTTCACATCTATGGTCTCTCCATCCATCCACCCATTCAAATGATCTATGTGTGTATCTACATATATATGATCTCTCCATCTATCCATGCCTCCATATATCCATTCATCCATCCATCCATCCACCCATCCATCCATCCATACACTCAAATGATCAATGTATGTATATATCTATGATTTCTCCATCCATCCACCCATCCATCCATCCATCCATCCATCCATCCATCTGCCTATCCACCCAATGATCTACCTATCCATCATCTTTCTTTCTTTCTTTCTTTCTTTCTTTCTTTCTTTCTTTCTTTCTTTCTTTCTTTCTACCATCTGTTATCAATTTATATCATTTATCTTCCTATCACCTGTTCATTAATCCTTTCCTTGATCTGTCCATTCATACTGCCATCTATTACCATTTATCTCTCCATCTCTCTTACACACACACACACACGAACACAGTTCTATATAGCCAAAGAGTGCAGAGCATTTTGTCCTCACTTAGTGGTATGTGAAGTTTATCAGTGACATCACTCTAAGGTTGCCCAAGTCTCTTGCTAGCCTTGCCCAGGTCCTCCCTGTCTCATACCAATCAGTGCTGTGGAGTAGCCCTGGTCCCTCAGAAGTCTGGCAAATGTCACCTCACTGGTGGGAAGTCCTCCAGAAGAAGCTGTGAATAAGTAAACTCCCATCCGGGTGAGCGCTGCCATTCCTGAAGCAAGAAAAATCCACCTTTAAGAACCAGCAGAACACTGGCCCCGGAGGTCCTCCAGAGGAGGACGATAGGCAGACACACACAGTAGGTTACCTAAGCGGATGGGGTACCGGCCCGTCATGAAGGATGCCCGGCTGGGTGTGCACAGGGGTGACGCTGCCAGGTGTTGTGTGAGTTTCACTCCCCCACTAGCCAGTGTGTCAATGTTGGGAGTCCTGGAATGAGAGAACCATGTCGTTTAGGATGGACTTCAACAGTCCAAGTGGTTACTCACATCACGAACTCCAACTCTAACAGAGGAAAATAGCTACTCATCTGTCCCCACCCATGCCCTCTGGGGGACCTCAGTGCTCAGTCTCTCCATCTCTGGGTTACAAGAGAGGGACCGAGTCCTACCCATGTGTTACAGCTAGTAGAGAGGGTGGAGCTGTGACTGAGTCACACTTCGCCCTTGCTGTCCTCCCCATGACCTTGGGGCCCCCCAAAGGTTTAGATAATTCATCTCTTTCAACCACATCCAAAGAGAAGCCAATGTCCGTCTCTCTGCCTCACTCCCACAAATCCCCAGGGAAGAACGAGGACTCAGCATCTCCATGGATCAACACCAGCCATTACCACCCCACAGCACTGGTATTAATTTAGTCTGCATTATCTTTTTTGTGTAATGAAGCTCCCTACCCAATTATCTTTATGTCATCGTTTCCCCATTATTGCAAGAGAAAACCAAGCTCGTCTCAAATACTTCTGTTTTATGGAGGACTTTCAACGTTTTCATGTGGTGTCCCTGCATTGATCACCTGCGGAGACCATGGTCAGCACCCACAGCCGTGTGTTCATCCAGCAGCTGCATTTCCCTACCTGAGCGTCTTGTTCCCATAGCACCCCAGATCTCCCACGCCAAGGTCGTCAGCCATCAACAGGACGAAGTTTGGCCTCAGTGCTGGCTGGCTCTCGGCTTCCCACAGAAGCACCAACAGGAGGAGACTGACCTTCATCTTCCTGCAGAGGGCAAGGAGACAAAAGGGAGTTGAGCATACTGGTTTCTCCAGCTCTTCTCTCAGAGCCTCTTCTGTCTGGCAGAAACTTTGGAAGAACACATTCTTACACCCCACCTCCTCCAGACAGAATGAACTTGAAAGACACTTGGGTCTAAGAAATGGCAAGAATACAAAGGCATTATCATCTACCTCCTGGGCATTTGTTTCCAAAACATATGGTTCCTTCTCAGTGATTAGCCATGACCTCTCTGTTCCAGCCTGTACGAAAATGGAGGTTCTATTTAGAAAAATGAAAATACTGTCACTTCCCATCAGCCCTTTATTGAAGGCTGGTTCCTTCTTGAGCTAAAAGTTTGCTCTTTGAACCCTGGCAAGACAGGTCCTTTGTTAAGAATAAACCTGCAATGTCATAGTCTTTCTAAAGTGAACTATGAGCTTGGGTTTAGAAAGTTTTGAAAAGGGAAATGTGTACCCCCTTTCCAACTGAAAGTGCATGACTTCCCAGCCTCGGGGAGCTCTGAGTGCTGCCCCGTGTGCCAAGGAGAGGGACTCACCCGTCATCTATGCCCGCTGTCTCCACGCACACTCACCTAGTGGCATTTCATGCCTTGTAAAGATAACAGGCTGGAGGAATTTGCTGGGAGGAGCGTAACTTGACGCCCACAGACATTGCTAATGAATATGCATCAAGGAAGGCGGTGCTTATGCAAAATAGCAGCTAGGCTCAGCGTAGCGCCTGCCCGCCCTCCTCATCGCTGCCCATGCATGTGTTTAACTGCCAACAGGTTAGACTCAAGGACCTGTGTCACTTTCCCTTTGACAGATGCACACTGGGGAAGCCAGAGAAGACCTTTCTACAACCAGTGGATCAGCAACAGACAGAGAAGAGAGCTGGCATTTGGGATGGACTAGGAATATAATGGGTGGGCCTCAACAGAGCTGTGGGAATAGGTAGCCGCCTGGAGGATCCCACTCCGCAGCCCTCCCTGGAGGTTTACACCATGCATGCCTCAGAACATGGCCTGGCACTGCAGCAGAACACACTTGGAAAGGCCATTCTCAACCACATCATTCATTGAAAGCTATTCGTACAAGGGCTGATCCAAACATACGGTGTATGCTTAAATTTTTTATAAAAGCTATTATAGTAACAGGCACACTGACATGAATTCCTCTCAAAATCTTTCCATCACATCCAACACACTCGTCCCTTCCTTGTTGGTACTTTCTGAAGCAGTTCTGCAAGTCCTCTTTCCTGAGTGTCTTTACCAGGTGTGGTCAAAAATGCGGCAGATGCTGCTGCCAAGTGTCATGCAAGAGGGAGTAGGCTCATTAAAAAAATAACAAAGTCCTCATCCACATTTGTCAGTGGATCTGGCATTATGTGACTTCCGGCTCTTCCCCAAAGTTAAAATGACCATGAAAGGCCAACATTTTGAATACATTCAGGACATTGAGACAGCCAGGACAGTGCAACTAAAGACCCTGAGGGAAGAGTCCTCCAGATCTGCTGCAGAAAGTGCCAAGAACGATAGATGAGTGTGTTCTGTGCCAGAGGGAGGATTCTGAGGGGGATTCATGGCAGTGTGTCTTTTAGTGTAACACATGTTAAAAGTTTAAACATTTATCGTATGTTGTGACCACACCTGGTATGTTGGCTTACATGCCACTTTTGGAACTTCGCAGGTGGGATTAAAGATACTGAGATGAGGAAATTTTCTGGGCTTATCCAGTAGGGCCAATGCAATCCCAGAGGTCTTTACTAAAGAGATGCAGAGGGATGAAGTTGTTTCCCCCGTATCCTCTTTTGTGCATGTCTTCACTTAGTCTTTTCCTCTCCTCTCCTCTCCTCTCCCCACTTTCCCTCCCCTCCCCCCTCCCCTCTTCTTCTCTTCTCTCCTCTCCTCTCCTCCCACTTCTCTCTTCTCTTTTCTGTTTCAGTACTGGGAATGGGACACAGGGCACTCCTCCATGCTAAGCCAGCACTTCCCCATTGAGCTCCATCCCAAGGCTTTTTTCTTTATTTTGAGACACCGTCTCACTGAGGTGCTAAGGTGGCCTCAAATGTTCAGCCTTCTTGCTTCAGCCTCCTGAGGAGCTGGGATTACAGGTATGCATCATCTGTCCAACATCGAATTAGCTGCAGATTTCACAACTTGGGGTCTCTTTTCATGAGGGTGTCTCCACTAAAGAATCCCTCTGCCTCTTGCTAGGAGCATAGACCCTTCTGGCCAGTACCATTCTAGCATCAGAGGGGCTTCTTGGAATTCCACTGGGTCTGAGTCAAGGTAACTAACAGTCCTTACAAATTCTGTCCAGTGGTTCTCTTGGCTACTGAATGACATTACCATTTTCCAAGGCTCTGTAGCATGCCTCTTACTCCTGTAGTTTCTTACCAGAAGCAGCAACAGAGTGAAGGCGGTCTGTCCAATGGACCCCACACCCGCTATCCATTCCATTTCTGAAGCAGAACGTTTTGCTTATGTATGCTTCCTTTGCTTCCACATTAAGTATTTATAAGCCCTCCATGCTGAGGCCATAGGCAATTTCCTTCTGTAGCTCTCCCCCATGGCCCTGTGAGTAAATAAATATTCACTAAAATTGTTTAATTGAGCCTCTGTGAAGGAGTACATACATACCAATTAGACAGCTAGGGAAATGAGGTACATTTCAGGCTCTGGACTGCATGGAAGCAAGAATTCTTAACTTCTGCACTATTGGCATTTGGGACGGACGGCCCACTTTAGGAGCACCTTTCCTGGGAACTCTAGAAAAATGAGCAGCATTGCTGGCCTCCACCCTCTAGAGGACAGTAGTATGTTTCCACCTAGCAATGATAGCCAAAGGTGCCTCTAGACTCTACTGACCATCCCTTGAAGCAGAAAAAGGGCAAACCCACACTCTATTGCGTACAATCCCATTGCAGCAAAAGAAGAAGCTTCCCTGAGAAAGCAAATGCTTGAAACCAAAAGGAGGTCTCTGTCAACTACTTTTGTCTGAGTCCAAAGAGCAGCACCTTTTCTTAGCAGATCCTATAAGCCTGGTTTATCCAGTTACCAAATCCCAGTTGCTGCACCGTAGCTCTCTGACTGTGAAATATTCTGAAGACCATGAGCTCTTTTTTTCTTTAAAAATTAGGGCATCACTATGGAATATGCAAATGATGAAACATGGTATAAGTGAAATATAAAGTATTTGATCTTTTAAAAAACAAAATGGGAAACGTGAGAAGCTCCATGATGACAAGTATGCAGGTATTTCCTCCACACATACTTTAGGAATCATAGAGAAACACGTGTCCCTCTCCCATGGAATGCCTCATCGTAGTTGTCTTGGCACTTTTACTGTTAGATTCTCAAACTTGTAAAGTGATTAACAGTGAATGTAAGTTAGTGTGGCGGATTGACAGCTGGTGGTCTACTTAAAACACCCAGCTGAACTGAGTAAGCATGGTGTTGTGCATGGGAGGCCCACTGGAGGACTGTTGCCAGCAGCGTCAGAGGCAGAACTGGAGAAGAAGCAGTTAGGCTGTTGGGAGCTAAGAAAGGCTGCTGGGAGCTGGTAGAAGCTGTAAGGAGCTGTTGGTTTTCTTGGAGGAGTTTGTCATGCTGGCTCTTGGGATGAACTTGGCTGTTTTCATTCTCTGAGGAGCTCAGAACCATGTTGGCACTGAGAACAGCTTTGGTTCATTTTGGGGGAGCTCTGGTCCTCACTCTGAGCATTGCTTCCTGGCTCCAGACAGAAAGATGGTGTACTATTCAGTCTCCTTGAGAAGTTTGTCACGTTGGCTTTGCTGATGGGAACTCGGCTGTCCTGACCATTGGAAGAGCACGGGACCTCACTGTTGCTGACGGTGACTGTGATACTTTTCAAGGGAGCTCTGGTTGTGACTTGTGTGCCACTTTCTGGCTCCAGGTGAGATCCCTCAACCTGCTAGCACAGATCCTTCATCCCACTGGCACAGACTTTCTAGATTCCACACTGACTTTGGGTTTTCACAGTGCAGATCTGTGAAACAGTCCTGCATGAGATGTTGTCTTGGGCTCTGGGCCTGCAGTTGGGTTTGTGGGAAGCACTGTTATGAGCTCTAGGTCTTCAGCTGGACTCATGCAGGACATTATCACAGGATCCAGGCCCTCAGCTAGATTCTTGGTCTGTAGTGTGTAGACAGATTTCCTGTACTCTCTTGTATATGATTCTTTGAGTGACTATCATAAATAACTTTATAAAATATGTGTCCTGTGTTATATTGTACTCCTTGCAAAAATACCCAGATCACAACAGTTAGTTCACTTTGAATCACTTTATATAAACAACTTGAAGGAATAAAACTTTATTTTGTCTCATGATTTATTTGGGTTTTTTTTTGTTTGTTTATTGTTTTTCTCCCTGTACAAGGTATCGAACTCTTGACCTTGCACTTGCCAGGCAGGCACTTTGCCACTGAGCTAAATCCCTAGCTCTTGTGTCATGATTTAAAGAAGTTTCTGTCCATGTACATCAAGCTCCATTGATTCTAAGCCTGCGATGAGGTAGGAAGGTCACGGCAGACAGACCCAGTGGAGCAAAGCTGCTCACCTCATGGAGGCAAGGAAACGGAGACAGCAACAGAGGAAGGGACCAGAAACAAGATATAGTTCCCAAAATTATGTCCCTATGACCCAATTCCTCCTACTAGGCACCCCTCCAGCTTGTGGAATTACAAATGCTTCAATGGACTGATCCATTTATGAAGAAGAGCCATTACGATCTAGTCATTTTCTGAAAGCCCCACCATGGAACACATGCGACTTTGCAGGGCAATTTGAGATCTAAACCATAACATTCTTTTGCTTTTTTAAATATTTGAATAAGGGACAGAGTTTACTTGCTGGCTGCTCTGATTTCAAGTGATGCACTTTAAGCAAAAGTTGCTCCTCGGATGGAGGCTGGACTCTGCGGATATGTACGAGTGTCACATTCACCTTCAAGGACACAGGAAACTGTTTTCAAGTGGAAAAC